CCCCAAAACCCCAAAACCCCAAAACCCCAAAACCCCTCAACTCCAAATCTTCATTGAAACCGATCTTCTAATTATTGAGTACTAGTTTCAGTATCTCCTTAAGGGAGATTCCTTGCTGGGCTTCTTCAACTTCATATCATTTCTAAATCTCGCTTGGATAAGCTTACTTTGTAGACTTCTTCGAAGTACATATCGAAGGGTTCTTCGAATCTTCTGTCCCAGGACAATAGGTTGATGACTAAGTTCTGCTGGTGGATGTACTTGTTCCTATGGACAAGGAGTGGTTAAGTAAGGCCATTGCATGGAGGAATGAGTGGGTTAATTTTAGATAAATTTTTGATAGACTTGAAGTTGAAGAGAAGATAATGAGATTACTTGACAATAACCTCCTCCAAACCCTCATCCAGATTCCCTCAAAAATATCTACAGTTTCTAATTTCACTTCTGCATTCTCCATACAAAAATTAGATTTTTTAATAAACAAGAGTACCTATCTTTATTGATCTCAGCCAAGAGAATATCAGTGATGATATTATACGAGAATGAGAGTACCGACTTGAAATGCTCTTTCTTCTCTCCTTCAAAAGTGAGCCCTAGTGAGTGTTTTGGGAGTTTAGGCTAAATGCATAAAAATACTGAATTCCTTAGAACGGCGTATATTCTCCCCGTCCGCAGAGTAAATACAAGACAATCAAAATATGAAGTGAATTCCACAGTGAAACTATCTAGCCCTGACGACTTACTCTGCTCAGTATACTCTTCAGAATGGTTGATTCAAAACACACCCAGGACGTCTATATAGCCAACAAGAGGAGAGTGGTTTATCCTTGGAATTTCAAGATTACTTTTAAGGCCGTAATCCAAATCTGATTGTTGGTCTTCCTGAGGGACTAAGGGTGAGATTGGAGATCATGGGGGAGAAGTTGAAGGAAAGAGATTTGGCTTTTTAGGAGGAGGATCCTTTGTTACAACAATAGGGTTATTTGATTCATTTTGGTATGGTAAGAGTAAGACCTTATGCACCTCTTCAATGGCACAACTCTCCCTAATTCGTCTAGCCTTAGTTCTCATAAATTGGTTTAGTAAGCAATATTTTATCTCATATTTAGGAACTCTAAGATCAATTCTCTCTTGTATCATATGTATTGGATCATTCAAATAAGTATCTTTATCATCTTCTTTATAAGCTCAACATTGCTCTACTGGGATATCATTCTCCACGATCTCATCAAACTCAGATCACCAATCAAATAAGCTATAATTATCATCATCTGAAATTTCATCAGGCTCGTCCAAAATTTGTGATTTTTCCCTAAAAGCACTTGTTATATGTTCATTCTGATAGTCTTTCTTAACCTTAAAGCTGCCTAACTTATACTTCTTTGAATAATCTACATCAAGAGTTGTGCTAGTATTCAAATTAGTTGCTGTTTCTTTAATACTTTTCCTTGGCAAATGGGCTATAGGCATAAAATTATGCTATTGGAAGAGCTGTCACTTACAAACTGTCTCCGGCCCAAAACTATGATATGAACCTGCCTCCTCAATATTCACGGAGTAATCTATAGGGGAAGGCTCTCCATCCAACGGGTCTTGGCTACGCTTAGCAAACCCTGAGATTAGAATATTTGCATCAGCAATCCCTTTACTTCTAAAGAAATTGAACTCTTTGGGACTAGCTTCCTTCTGTGAAGACAAGTTTTCTAAAGATTTCTCGAAAAATTACTCTTCAGATTTGACGGAGTCATTATTGGCATCTCTTTTGTGGGCAGATCTTTAAATTTACGAACTCTGACACTACATCTACGTGGTTTTTTATAGGTTTTATTGCGGTTGGGTAAATCATGACCTAAGAAATTCTCTTTTGGGTAAGTTTCCATCCTTGTACTCAAAACCGCTGTTTCTCTAAAGAAAAATTAAAGGTAAAATACAGCTCAATATCCTCGTCTTTTTCAGGATCGATAACATCATCAGGAACCTGCTTCTTGTTCATCAAATTTTGCTTGCTAGAGATCTTTATGTAGTTACCATCATATCTTTAACCCAGAGCTTTCCCTTCTTTTTACATGTGGATCCCTTTCGATCTACCTTGCTTCCACTTGAGTAATAGTCATGCTGATCTTTCAAGAACGGTGAATCTGCTTTCATAAACTCCACACTCAGGAAAGATTTCAACTTGTTAATCTTATTCCTAGTTTTCTTCTGTTCCCTCAGTAATGCTGTAATAAGCAATCAACTTTGTCATCAAAGCTTATCAAAAAGTTCAAAATTCCCATAACCCCCATACAAACATCATTCCATCCTTCCCAAACCCATAAAACCCCTCCACCCAAAATCCCCCTTCTATCCCCCAAAACCCGCTTCTTACACCTCCTATTCCCAACTTCGACCTTCTTCTTACTCCTTTTCTCCATTTCCAGCCTTCAAAAATATTTCAACTAATAAAATAAGACAAGGGGTTTTGGGGTTTTGGGGTTTTGGGGTTTTGGGG